GTAAAGGCAACACATACCCTACTCTATACACTACTTGTGGGGGTGATGAAGATGTTTTTTTATTTTTTTTTTTTACACTGATTGCTTTAACACCCATAAAGGCTGTAAAAGCAATCATACCCTACTCTATACACTACTTGTGGGGGTGATGAATTTTTTTTTATTTTTTTTTTACATTTGATTGCTTGTGTATAGAGTAGGGTATATTTTTGCCATCTGTGTCCCGTTAGGGAGATTTTTCTTTACTTCCTCTCCCATAGCCTAACAGGAACTGTGGGAAAATCCCTCCAAGTTAGGGAATCCCTGGTCACCAGGGTCACCAGAGCTACAGTAGTGTCCTAATTGGAAGATTTCCTCACTATTCCCGTTCTGATGACATCCCAAAATTTGGGATTTTCCTTTTACTTTCACTTTATAATAATAATAGAGAGGACAAATGTAGAGAGTGAATCTCACAGGCGCACAGACAGCAATAAAATCCTGAGAGATATTCTAATCCTTCTTCCCTTTGCAAACCTATAAAAAAACCTTTGCCATTACTTATACTTTAAGCTGATACTGGTCTCTTTATTACTTTAGGTTTTATGGCCAGCTTACTTTCCATTGCACTACATGTGTATTTTTTACTCACTGTTTAATTTGACTGTTAAAGTAAGTGAATAACTATTCAAATTAGTTCACGTCAATGTATTCCAAAGTATTGAATATACTAGTTAACAACTTGTTGCATCTGGAAACACATAATTCCTGAAGGAAGGGCATTCCCTCTGCCTCTATACTACAGATATTACCATGCACATGTTAAATAGTATAGGGAGTCTCCTTTTTTTCTTCCAATACTAAACTGCGTTGACTCATAACTTCCAGAATACCTGTAATTCCCGAAAGACTGCTCATTACCTCAAATAATCTCCTCTATTATTTCTGTTAATTTAGAAGTCTATGCTTGATTGTTAAACTTCAGGGTTAAGTATATCTTCCCGACACCCGATGAGTGCCCCCTGGATTTTGTTCTGCAAAAGTGTTATTGAGCTAAAAGCCTTAATATATACAAGTGCTCAATGGGGAATTAGCTTGTACACTGTGGTCATAATGAAGCTCTTCTGTATATGTTGCAGTCCTTGCTCCTCAATCTGCATCCTATCTGGGAAAGATTCACACATAGGAGACAACCAAAGTTTTTTTTTCCATTGCCTACTGAATGGACAAAGAAGGTGTGTCTGCATCCAATGTCTGTGTGCACTTAGCCTTACTATCTTTCTCTTTTTATAAAAGACCCATAAATGGCAAGACCATAGGAAAGAGATCAGAAATAAAGCAAATAAAAAAAGAGAGTAAAAAAAATTGTCTTGAAGCCAACAATTTCTGCTTCCTAGTCCACCAATTTAATTTCAAATGATTACAGATTATGATTAAAACCCTCAACTATAGCCAAACTTTTTAATGATTTGGATAGAGTGGGGAAGGGTTGGCACCTCTATCAGGCGTTACTACTCTCACTGTCCCTGTTGGGGACTTTCCACTTCAGTTCTTGGTGACCACACATGAATCGATGAAATCAGGCAAATGGTGACACAGATGGAATTCTAACCCTTACCCATTTTATTTAAAACAAATGTTATATTCGCTTTTGGCGTGTTTGAGCAATTCCTCTTGAGCGAGTCCTGTCAACTGCAGGAGAGGCTGGAAGAAATGATCTCAACAGGGATAAAGACAGCAATAAAAAAAAAAACTGTTGAATAAGTAATCCGATAACATTCTACATTATTTTATTTTTGATGGTTGTGTTAGAGTTATGAAATTGAGATATTTATTATTTTGCCACCTGCGTAACACATATAAACGGCAGCAAAAGCGTGGGCTTTAATGCCCACATTCCACACATACTGTATGTATCATTAGGCCGATATTTGTGTGCTGGGAGCGCATTCACTGCCTGCTCCCAGCATAGAGAACAAGCTATCAAAGACAGCTCTCTGTCCCTACTAACAATTGATAGCCAAAGGAACCAGATCCCAATTATGTGACTGATGTGCCAGTCAATCACAGTAGTCACATGATCCCCGAACCTTCCCACCCTCTGGATGTTCAAAACAATTTCAAAAGATGCCAGGACGGAGGGGGTAATGAGCCTACATTTTTTAACTGTGGCTCCTTTTACTTACAGTTGAATACAACTGACATTTTATATACAAACATTTATGTCATGTCAGGAAGTCATAGGAAAATTTAATTGAATTATAACTGCCAACTGGTGGAGTGTCATGTTTGCTTACATGTGCAAACACATGTAATTGTCGTTGAGGATGCAAATTCAAAATGAAAAATAATTATTTAAAACACTAATGATTTGTATGCAAGTCTATTCACGCATTCGCACAACTGATACTTCTATTAACTTTAAAAGACCTGTAAAAAAGAAACATATCAAAAGTTATTTAAAGTTTATTTTAATCCATATTTTTAGTTTTGGATTGAGTAGAAAATGTTTAAAACCCCTGTCCACCTTTACTTAAATAAGTAGATAAGTGAATATTCTTGGCAAAAATACACGTACAAGAATAATTTGTATTTTATTAATGACTGTTTTAGTAAATGTTAGATTAATGGAGTGATGATTCTAAGCTAGCCTTTGTCAACTTTTTCAGCACAGAGGAACCTTGAAATAACTTTCCAGTCTCAGGAAACCCCTGTTAAAAATGACTATATCTACAACTCGTGATATATTAGTGTGATGGTCAGTGGGAAGAATGCTCCTTATACTTGTGGTTACAGGGAAGAATTACCCCCTTACAGATAGCTAAAAAGATCAGTGTTGTCAGTGGGAACCTATCTGAGAGGCTGAAATTACTCATTGCTCAAGGAACCCCTAGCAACCTCAGGAGGAACCCTATGGATCCATGGAACCCTGGTTGAAAAACCCTGTTCTAAGCAATCTATTTTTAATTTATTATTTGCCTTTTGAGAAAACAATGCACCTTAAAGTGGAGTTTCAGCTGAAAAGAAAAAATAAAAGTCAGCAGCTACAAATACTGTAGCTGCTGACTTTTAAAATACAGTCACTTACCTGTCCCTCAGTCCAGCGGTGTCCTCAGCACCGCTGGTTTCACCGGTTGTCTTTTCTCCCTGGCATTAGCATCTTTAGTATGGGCACCCAGCTCTGAGAGCTTCACATCCGGGTGCCCACTGTGCATACGCAAGAAGCGCTGTGATTTGTGAATGGCCCCGTAGTCTTCTGGGACCTGTCACATGTCCCAGAATCCAAAGAACAAAAGGTATACCGCTCAGGCAAACAATCCTGATCAATCCACAACATATGTTTGTTATATGTTCCCATTCACACAGCATACCTAAAAAAATTATTTTTTTTTAATGTTTCTCCCCTATTAGATATTTCCTATTAAAAGGTGTCATGGCTGACTACAAGCCTTTGCGAACAAATCAAAAGTAAGTCTGTGTCAATAGAAAGGCCTAAGGACAAGCTCAGCTTCTCTTATCAACATGCAATGGAGAAGTCCAGCTTCTAAATCTTTAGCTCTTTGTTACGACAGACAGGGGGGAGTTATTAAAATGGTTGCACTCAGAATCTCGTGCAGCTGTGCAAGGTAGCCAATCAGCTTCTAACTTCAGCTTGTTCAGTTACGATTTGGCAATAAAACCTGGAAGGTGATTGGTTTTTATGCAGAGCTGCACCAGATTCTGTGTAATCCAGTTTTAGTAAATCTCCCCCACAGTGTTTAAATTTAATTTACAATACTGTAACTAACAGAGCTCCCCAGCTCCTTCATAATCAAAAGTAGGATTTTTCAATCCAGGAGTTTCCAGAAAAGAGTATCTAAAAAAGGTAAGCTTCAGTTTTTTATATTTTTTAAGTTATGCTATGAGAATAGTAGCATGTAATAAATATAAAGGAGATGTTATCACAATTTGGCCATAAAAAAGGAAATGCACTTTTAGTGAAAGCCTTGAATCCTCTGGGATCGCTGACATTACATCCATGTGACAAGAGTCTCCTGGCAGCTGCGAGAAGACCTGGAGCTTTGTGGTTACGTAATTGCATGTGTAAGACACTGAGAAAATGTATTTACACAGTGATTGGTGATAAAGGGCATACAAAGCTATGAAGAGAAATGTGGAGGGAATATTTAAATGGCACAGTGGTTAGCACTTCTGCCAGGCAGTATAGAGATGTCGGTTGGAATCTCAACCACGGCACTACCTGCTTGTAGTTTGCATGTTCTATCTGTGTCTGCGTTGGTTTTTCCTCCGGGTACTCCAGTTTCCTTCCACACTCCAAAAACATGCTGGTAGGTAAATTGGCCCTAGTATGTAAGTTAGAGTCCTTAGATTGTAAGCTCCTTGAGGGCAGTGATTGGTTTGAATGTACAATATACTGTATATATGTAAAGCGCAGTGGAAATTGTTGGCGCTATATAAGTAATATATATATATATATATATATATATATATATATATATATATATATAGTATCTCACAGAAGTGAGTTCACCCCCTCACGTTTTTGCAAACATTTTATTATATCTTTCCACAACACTGAGGAAATGACACTTTGCTACAATGTAAAGTATTGAGTGTACAGCTTGTACAACAGTGTAAATTTGCTGTCCCCTCAAAATAACTCAACACGCAGCCATTAATGTCTAACCGCTGGCAACAAAAGTAAGTACACCCCTAAGTGAAAATGTCCAAGCTGGGCCCAAACTGTCAATATTTTGTGTGGCCACCATTATTTTCCAGCACTGCCTTAACCCTCTTGGGCATGGAGCTCTCCACAGCTTCACTGGTTGCCACTGGAGGTCTCTTCCACTCCTCCATGACGACATCATTGAGCTGGTGGATGTTAGAGACCTTGCGCCCCTCTACCTTCCTTTTGAGGATGCCCCACAGATGCTCAATAGGGATTAGGTCTGGAGACATGCTTGGCCAGTCCATCACCTTGCCACTGGAGTCCTCTTCTACTCCTCCATGATGACATCACAGTCAAGCAAGTACTGTTTTCCTGGCAACCACCAAACCCAGACACGTCCATCGGATTGCCAGACAAAGAAGTGCAATTCATCACTCCAGAGAACACGTCTCCACTGCTCTGGAGTCCAGTGGTGGCATGCTTTACACCACTGCATCTGACACTTTGTATTGCACTTGGTGATGTAAGGTTTGGATGCAGCTGCTTGGCCATGGAAACCCATTCCATGAAGCTATCTACGCATTGTTGTTGTGCTAATTTGAAGGTCACACGAAGTTTGGAGATCTTTAGCTATTGACTCTGCAGACAGCGACTTCTACACACTGTGCGCTTTAGCATGCGCTGACCCTGCTGGGGGGGCTGGGGGGGGGGGGGTGGGGGGGGGGGCTGGGGGGGGCTGGGGGGGGGGGGGCTTGGGGGGGGGGGGGGGGGGGGAGCTCTGTCATTTTACAAGGCCTAGTACCTCGAGTTGCTGTTGTTCCCAGTTGCTTCCACTTTGTTATAATACCACTAACATTTGACTGTGGAACATTTAGTAGCAAGGAAATTTCACGGATGGACTTATTGCACAGGTGGCAACCTGTCACGGTACCACGCTTGAATGCACTGAGCTCCTGAGAGCATCCCATTCTTTTACAAATGTTTGTAGAAGCAGTCTGCATGCCTAGGTGCTTGATTTTATACAACACCTGTGGCCATGGAGATGATTGTAATACCTGAATCTAATGATTTGAAGGGGTGTTCCAATATAGTGTGTGTGTATATATATATATATATATATATATATATATATATATATATATTATAATAAATAGTTAGCCTTCTCTTCTACTTTAAAGAGAAAAGTGTGTTTTCACTTAGCATGCATTTTGAGTTATTAGTGTAACATCTACTAGAAGGTATGTTGCCATGACTTTCATGACCATTCATGACTGCTGACATTACCTTATTTAGCATTAGGTTTCTATTCAGCCAAGACAGTCCTAGACCAAAGACCTAGATTAAAAGAATAAAGAAATTAGCAGATGAAGCACATTTTGCAATGCTATTAAACTAGAATTAGAGTCTGCATATGTAATGAATTGTAGTTTAATGATGGATGATCAAGCAAAATTTCATTTCTAAACACTTTAATGAGTAGTCTTCTCATCATTCCCAGAATACATAGTTTTTGCTCATCACAGTCATAAGCATTCAAACAAGATGTCAGTTGGTAGCTGGTAATGGAAAGAGCTGCCCAATGTGCTTTATGGATTTGGTAGCAAACAAAAATAACCAAAATTGATAAAGTAATATCAGCGCCCCACAGCGATGCAATCTACAAATCTGCCAAAGATCAAATGTTTGGCACATAGTTTCTTTCTTCAACATAATGTCGAAAAAACATCCACTCCTTTGCAGCTCTCTCCAGACCAGGAAGTCCTCAGAAAAACTGTAAATGTAACAGAGAGCACACAGTCATTGTGTAAGATCCTCAAAAAATCATTGACTGGTTAAAATACATATATTGTACTCACAAAAGTGATAAAAAGACACGCTTCTCTGATTTCCATAAGGAACATTTTATTGACCAATGAATGCTCTCATCTGACCACTAGTCCTTCATTCGAAGACCAACTTCTAATACACTGCTAATTTGTTTTTTCTTTATCCGCGGAGGTGAGCAAAACAAAAACCCATTAAGTGTAAAAAAAAGGAGCACCTGCAAAAACACCAACACAAAAAAGTGCACGTAGGGGTGTGCTTTTAGTCCATCCCCCCGAAGGGGTAAGACCTTTACCCTGATCCCCAGGGGCACAAGGCTACTGACCGGGACAAAGGTTTCCAACATGGTCCACGTAGACAAAAGGCCTGGCGGACCCTTTTCCTTGTGATCAGCTAAAGCTGACCACCAAGTAATTGGTTGATGGGCTCTCCCAAAGAGAGACCCCCCCCCCCAAGGATCAGGAGAGGAAGGAAACTAAGGGCCCCGCATCGTCCCCCTAGACAAGCCCGAGGACCCACACGCTCCATCCAGTAAAGCTTCACTTTGCAGAGAATACCCAATCACATGCAAGGAAATTTTTAAAAATGCATTATTGCTGGCACATGATTGGATGATGAAAGTCAGCAGAGCTTCCCCTCATTTACTAACCTCTGGCGCAGCTGCACTTCTTAAGTGCACAGTCTATTTGCCTTTAGTAAATCAACCCCTTTGTCTTAACTGGAGCTGTGTTTGATGGCACAGACAGTGGAAGAACATTGTTTGTCAGTTTTGGGGTATGCAATTTTCCTCTGACATATTTTCCATTCACATCAGAGAAAACACATTAAAATGCACATCAATGTAAATTGTCATGAATTTCAAGCATGTGTTGTAATGTACTTTTTAAAGAATGACAATGTGCCTCATAACTCGTATCAATGCCAATTGACAAGCATCATGATGCATTCACGTGCATCATGATGCGTGTCAACCTGCATCTTAATGCAGGTATTGACATGCATTTTGATGCATTTCCATTCATTTAAAGGGAAAAGGCTGTGCCAAATTTTACTGATTATTAAAGTACTGTATCTCTTTTGAGTACCTTATCTCTGTAACAAAGTCATTTTTAAACTCTTTATAAGGAAGGAAGCACTGAAAAAAATGTTTACATTTCAGGTTTCCTTTTCTAAAGTCAGTAGAAATGTGACCTGTTACAAAAGCGGTCAGTATAGGTACCCCTTTACATTTGTGATCAGTGTAGAAACCTCTTGTATATTGGGGGTACTTATTTGATCAAGATATTTAAGCAAGACTTTGCCTTGGTCCTCTAACATGCTTCACCAAACATGTGAGGTTAGTGACCATTGGTGTCAGTGATTACTTACTTGAGAGACTAGACAAGCTCAACCAACCTCATGCTACTAAGAATGAGCCAAATATATACCTAGGTTTTGTTGAGGGTGGGTTCAGTGAACATTACACATGTTCAGGTTCAGAAGTGCAGGTGTTGAATCTGAATCACACTGAAGTCAATAGGAGCTTGAAAATCCAGAAATGCAATCCCTGGCTATCCTACCTGCAGGTACCAGACACTTAAGATCGTCATCGCGTCGATGGCAAGACGGACTTCTCTGTGTACCTCCTTTACTACTCTCCTTTCCCTTTTTTCTTCTTTTCTCCCTTCTCAGCTTCTTCTCTCTCGACTTTTTTTCTGTGAATATTTTTTGGTCCATATTACAAACCTCTACTCAGGGTTTAAGAATATGGTCTAGATTATATGGGTGTTCCATTCCCCAGGAGGAAAACGGGATATTATATCTGACTTGATTGTAATTAACTTTTGTAAATACCTCATGTTGATCAATGTTTCGATGCTCTGGCACTGTTTTGTTATTTTAAACTCAATAAAAAGACTGCAACAGAAAATCTAGCAATGCAGATCCATGACAATTACCATAAATGACACTCACTGATGCAAAAGAAAAAAAACTTGAAAAAAAACTTGCCAATCATCAATACGATTTCAACTCAATGACTGCTCACACATGAATGATGGTTCTGGCAGATGACAGCTAATATAAACACAGGAATCCTCATGATGTAATAGACTGAATATGGTCATGTCTTCTGACATCAGTATGGAGACCCCATTTGTTTTTATCAGCTGTCATCCACTAAAGCTGTCAGTTACAGGCTAACAGTCATTGGGATTAGATGTGTCAATTGGTGTTTTTCTTTCTTTCAGAGGGTTGACAAAATCACAAAATCATACTGATTGATGTGGATCTGCATCACTGAATGACATGATTGATGTTGAATTTGAAGTGTGGGCCGTGTAGAATGTTTAAAGAACTTGTCAAACCCTATTTGTGTGTTTTTATTTACTTTTTTCTTATTTTGTGAATGATTAGGGTACTATGTACCGCTTACTCATTCACATAGGGGGACAGTATCTGGGTGTCCCCCTTATTGTTATAGGGAGCCTTTAGATTTTGATAAGCCTCACACAACCACCAGGCTCTGGTTGTGGGGAAGAGGCCCCTATCCTCATCAACATGGGGACATGTGACCTGGTATGGTTCTGGAGGGGGAAATTCAAGCTCCTAGCCTGCCAGGGTGCATGCTTAGACAAGGATTTTGTGTGGATTTTTGGGAGGGACACCATGCATTTTTTCTTGACTTTTGTGTTGGGTTCCCCCTTAATTTAGAGGGACCTACAACATTTTTGTTTTTGTTTTTTTACATGTGGTCTCCCTTAAAATTTGTAGCAGACCTGGAGGGCTGGGAATTCTCTGCCAGTAAATTAATGGGGCCGAGTGATATCACCGGTTGCTAAGGATGTGAAAGGTGCCATCACCCACCAATTTCCTAACAACCTAGATAGTGGATGAAGTGACCTATCATATATATTAGCAGGAGAAAAACCTGCTACTATATATGATGTCCGGCTCTTGCTGAAAGTCCGGCATTCGGACAAATGTCTGAACAAGCAAAGTTTGGTCCGAACCTGTGTTCAGACTGAACTGGCAGCTCATCCCTATCACAGGAATGGTCAATTTAGTTTGTTTGCAGGCTAGCTGGCAAGTGTGCTGAGAAATGTTCATTTGTTTGTGATGTGCGTTGCCCGTCCCTAAGCACCTTACTGAAAAAGCTGGTTATAAATTGGGGTGGTTGGGGTTTATTCACTGATTTGGTGTGGGGCACATTGAATGCCTTCAGCTGCCATTGTGCTATTGCTGGGCATCCAGTGTCTCTCTGTGTCTATAAGGAGGAGTGGGCTCCCTTCAGGGAAACCTGCCCTTAATTTATCCACTGCTACATGTGCTCCAAATTGGAGACTCCCAAAACCTCAGTTAGGACCACAATATACAAACAAACTTGACGTTGCCACTGCAGCTTCTACATACAGTATATTTGCAAATGCGTTTAATTAAACCCTCTGTTTTTAATGTAAATTGTTAAACAGGGTCAGTTTGGTTTGTTTGCAGGCTAGCTGGTAAGTGTGCTGGGAAATATTTGTTTGCTTGTAATCCCTATCACTGACTTTTCTAAGTGACAGCAGTGCTAAAATTATGCGCACCTCTGCAGACATGAAATCAATTCACCATTAATCAATGTTCAATGAACTTCTAGGAACTCTTAGATGAACCAAAAGGTTGCACTGAACCCTTGTTGGCTGCTGTAAACATAAAATGCTTTGAGGGGTTAGCCCTAATAAATATCTCTATTCATTGAAAATATATTTAACTTTTTATTGTTTTGTGTAGCTATTACCCAGCATACTATTCTTAAGTGTTAGATGCTAAAAAGCATTAAAAAGATCTTTCACAACTGTGTAAGTATAGTGACATCTTGTGGAGCCTGTGCACAAATACAGTAGAGTAAGGCAGCTTGTATTCTTAAAGCAGACACATTTTTTGTATAGCTACTTAATTATAGTTAGTAGAAATGTAGGTGAACAATGAGTCCCATCTCTGCATTATTGTAACAACTCTGTATAGCAGTTCTCTCTCCACAGTAGCTGATTCCTTGCATTATCGGTGGTGAGCACAGGAACCTCCTTAGGCTACATGCACACAATGTAATTAGGCATAAAGTATGCCTAGCATAAAAAACGAATTATTGTCATGTAGCTGGGGAGCTGCAGGAAGGACATATGGCTATAAGTTCCTGTACTTTTATACAATTGCTACACAAGTCATAATGTAATTGAATGTTATTCAAACTGCAGCACAAATTCAACACAATATGACAACCTGGAGGCCTTCTGT